CAACCTGGAAACTGTTTCAACCAACCTTCATTTACTCTAGTCTAAAACTGAGGGTGAGTAGCCCAGACGTTGCAATACTTGAAAGGCTTTCCAATCGGTGGTTGTCCATGTATAGTGATCACTTATTCCTTCTGGTAGAAAAGTTGCACCGCATGCTTGCATTTTATCTAACCATTCTGTGTTAACAAACACCCAATCTATTTTGGAAGAAACTCTAACATTCCTTTTGTCATTCCAAGTGTATTTTCTCCCTTGGTGAGGAAGTTCCAGCCAGCTCCTGAAAATCCACAACTTCTGCCAAGTTTACTGGATTGCCTCCTATTCTATCATCCATGTTCAATACTGTGTTAAAGTCACCCATTACTAACCATGGACTATTACACCTACTACTAACACTTCCCAAATATGACCATAAATTTTTCCTCTCCTTTCTAGTATTTAGTGCATTCACAACAGTTAACGTAAACTCTACTTGCAAGGATATGTTAAGCATCATACAAGTAATAGCTTGAGCCATACCATTTGTATATGTCACCGTGAAGAAATCAGGTCTCCAAGAAAGCCAGACCCTCCCATTATAGTGATATTGCAAATTTGTAACATAATTCCATCCTCCAAACATTCTCGCAACAATTTCATCAATCCTATTACTCTTCATTTTTGTGTCTAATAATCCCACTAGCCCCGTACTTTCCTTATTACATAGGAGTATGACCTCCTTCTATTTGTTAGGGGCATTCAAACCCCTAACATTCCAACAAAAGATATTATCCATTCCCTAATGGAGGGTGTGGCTGGCCTCCCTCATTTCGAACTGGACTTCTAATCACTTGTTTACTTGGTACATTCTTATCCAAGGTCTGGAAGGAATTCTGTTGTGGTGCCATATGAATTATTGCTTGTTTCCTCGGTTTATAGTGTTGTTATTTGTTTTTCGGGGTCATCCAGCCAGTTGTGCGAGCCTCATGTACACCTGGTTGACCAATCTTCTCTTTTACTTTAGGATTTCCACCTTCTTGCGTTTGTACAATGTTGTTTATTTTGTGCACCCTCTTCCTGAGTCGGATTGGGAGTTATTTGGTTCACTGCATTTGAACCATCAGCCTCTACATTCCTACTCTCTTGTTTCTTTGGAGACTTTGGTGGTGGTGGGTTTTTCTTCCTGCAATCCTCTTCTGAATATCCATTCTTGTGACAGAACTTACATAACACTGGCTTCCAGTCATACTGGATTTGATATTCAATTAGGCCTCCTTTTTCATTCTTGAAAATCTCCCTCTCGGGCAGTTGAAAATCCACATCAACTTTAATCAATAGTCTTGCAAAATTAAGTCATAGTTTCCTCTCCGTGTGTTTATCCACCATTAACGGTTTGCCTATCAAACTACCAATCTTACTAAGCCCTTTTGGGCTCCAGTATTTGAAGTCCAACCCAGGTAATATCACCCATATAGGGACAGTATAGAGCTCCTCCCTTGTGAACTCCATATCCTCATTCCATGCTTTAACAATAAATGGTTTATTATCAAAATGGTAAATTCCTCCCTGGATAGCTTCATTTTTCCCAGCAATAGAGTCAAAACGAACCAGAACTATACCATTCTTCAACATATGCACCTTGTTGATACCATGTTTCCCCCACAGACGTTGGACGTAGCCATTTAAAATAGAGAAGGGAGGGTGGGCTCCCAACACAACACACAACTGAATTTCTCCAATATGCAATTTCTGAGCTTATATCTTATATCCCAATTTCACATACAGCAGACTTCCCATGTATTTCTAGAGCTACAAATTCAAGTTGAAACCCAGCATTTGATACCTTGTTTATGTCGAAGTTTTCCCAAATTGACGGTCTCCTTTGAACTTCCTGCATTGCTTCTACTTCATCTGCCCAGGACTGTTTGATGTACTGCTTGATGCCTGCACAATTTCACCCCATTCCTTTTGTTTTGCTGGATCTGTTTCCCTAACCGATTCCTCAATCATAACCCTAGGAGATGTTATTTCCCCAATTTTACCTTCTGTTGCTTCATTGGGTTCACTGCTTGCTTCCTGAACAAGGCTTGCTTGATGTCCCTTCTTCTTCTGTTTCCTAGCCACTTGCGTCTTAGATTCCATTGCCATTGCTGCCTTCAGAGTCGGGATCTATGCTCTCTTTCCCATGGAAGCGCACGATTAGTGTATCATGCGCCGAGAGAAACGAAACCCTCACTCTAAATTCTATTCTTTAATAATAATTTTATTATTATTAAAAAAATGGGCCTTCGAATTTGGGGGCCAATGTGTATGCCTCATTTTTAAAGGCATTGAGCCACCCCTGGGTGTGCACGGTAATCATTCCATGAATATTTTCTTCCTACGTGAAGTTGTTGATGATGCTAAGCTCATGGAAGCAATCACCGTTGAGAAGTATTGGAAGTTGGTAGATGTTGGACGAGAGTACAATGATTTGAGCTTCTTGATGACTTGGGACTGTTTTCAATGGACGAGGAAACTATCAAACATTGCAGAATTAGTACAACAAGGATGTTCAACGGCAATCTTGTGTCATTGGTTGTGTTAACTGAGATCCCAATTTTAGTTGGACGGTTGTTTTTAAGGAATTGTATTACAGGACGTAGACGAAGAAATGTATAAAGCATTTCCCTCTTTCACTAACCACAAAATAACAAGCTAGTGCAAAATGGGAATAAGATGGATGAATACATCAAGGACTGCCATGTGAGACTCTTCCTACATTTTGTTGTGTAATATAGCATGGATGTTGTTAATATGATTCATATATGAGCGGTTGACTATGGAGGTATGATCAACTGGACGAGAACTTACTAGATTGTATTAGTAGCTAAGAGGATAAATACATCAGCTTTTGTGGCAGCTGAAAGTTATATGTTTACTCGTCTGGATCAACCAAAGGTAGTGCCAACTTTTTTGTGTTATTGATTTTTGTATCCCAACAATCTCACTAGTCGGTCCGCTACTTAAGTACTACTCTATTTGTTTTCTATAACTGATGTGGTGGGATTACATCTTAATTACGTTCTTGGTTACGTCCCTGTACAAGGCTCCTTAATCTGTTGAACCAAGGGTTGCCATTGGTATTAATGAATAAAATTCTGCAACTTTTCCCCTACAAATATCACACTAGTGGAGTATGTCTCAGAGACATTTTCCACTTTAGATGTGTTATGGTTCTGATTAAAGTTGGACGACATGTTAAAGAGGCAATAGGAGTAATGTCAATTTTTTTCCTTAATACTCTCCGAAGACAACATAATAAAGTTGATCCTACGAAAGATCATCTAGATCATTTTCTTTCGCTTTTATTGTTATGAACCAAGTCTAGCCCAACGTAGACACTAATGTCACACAACTTGTTATTGAGCTGACAAGAGTTATTGGACTATAGTTAATTTGGAATCTGAGTTCAATAATGGGTTTTATTCTATCAAAAGGGGTAGTGGTATGTGAATCATGCATATTAAAGAAAATGTACGTGCTCTCTTCTTCTTCCTCTAAAGTCTAAACTTCTCATCTCCATTCTTATCTTTATACTTAGTTACTTGTTATTTTAATACTCATTGTAATTCAATAGTTTTGAGTACAATTCTAAAATTGTAATTTCCTATGTTCTTATTAATATAATGAGAAAATCGGACTGTTACAGCATTTATCTCTATGATGTCAACAGGAGCTTGTATGCATTATGGTGCTAAATTGGTAATAAGTAGATTTTTGCTAGATTAAAAGATACACGTGAAGATAGCAAATATTTGATGGACAGAGATACTTGTGCAAATAGGAAATAGCAAACTTCCTGAAAAATTGACCCGCGCTCATGCCAATTATTTAAAGAACTTAAAAAGAAACAAAGTGCATAGGACAATTAATTAGCAAATGAAAGAGAAGTAAGACCTCAATCGTTTAAATCAGAAAATATCTAAATCTGAATACACAATTAAAATGTTTTTAGATCTAAATTTTGAATGATTGAACTATTTGTTATTCAAAATTTGAATATGCCTAATTTTTTTATTTATAAATATAGTAATTACACAATTAAAGAAAGTAATTAAGCAATAGATAAAAAAAAAAGAATTACCTGAAACATCAAATTTTAATATAAAAAAAGAAACATTAATGTTTGAGTATTGAAAATAGGTTGTAGTGATGGTGATAATGATTGGTGACTAATAATGATAGTAGATGTAGTTACTGTTGTAATAGCAGGTGTGATGATGGAAATTTGCAATGGTGGAGATAGTCAAATTGATTGATGGTGATAGTCGGCGGCAATGATAGTTGTGATGATAGAAATCGACAACAGTGGTGGTATTGGCTGATAATGACAGTGGTGATAATAGTTGGCGACTGAGAGTAATGGTTACCAATGATAGTTGTGATGACTCAGTGATTGGTGGTAATAGTGGTGGTTGGCAATAGTAATAGTAGATGACAATGGTGGTGGTTGATGATTGTGAATAGAGTGATGGTAAATACCTATTCAAATCAAATAAGTAGTAAACAAAAGCACTTGGACCTAAAGTCAGTCTGAACTTCCATGAAGTAGAAACAAAATGAGTCCTAAATAGATGGTAGAATTGGATAAGCAATATGCAAAATTAAGTGGTAAAACGACACAGATTGTAGACTTGTTGGGACAGATAACACGATGGTTGACAGTTTTGGAGCATTCACAGCTTCTCCTGGGATGTTTGTTCAGAAGCAGCCATTTATTCAGACAAAAAAGATATTTCAGCTTAAATCAATCACATATAAAATGTGAGTATAGCAAACCTGCATCTGAGAATTTGCCAAATGCAATAATCTTAAGCTATCATGAATCAGAAATCTAAAAGCAAGGACAGATATAAACACAAACAAGCTTCTCAAGTGAGTAGGTAAAAATACTTCTTTGGCACTTGCGCTTTGCATTTGAGCTCCACTTCCAAACAATGGCAATTGCACACAACACAACATAATAATAATAGTAAGAATCAAACCAAAAATAGAATCTAAATCACGATTGCAGTCATATAATAAAAGTTTAAAATCCAAAACATAAATATCACTTCAAAATTCTCAGAACAAGTTCAAAAACCATAAGGAGCAAGCAATAAAAAGAAATTAACGGTAAGATTTCTGGAACCTAGAACGAGCACCACGACCACCAAACTTCTTAGGCTCACATCGTCTAGGATCAGCAACAAGCAAAGTCCTATCATATCGCACAAGTATATCCTTGATCTCCTTCTTCGACTGCTCATCAACATATTTCTGGTAAAATGCAACAAGTGCTTTCGCAATTGACTGACGAATTGCATAGATTTGTGAGGTGTGACCTCCACCTTTCACACGGATCCTCATGTCTACACCAGCAAAACGGTGTCGTCCTAAAAGTAAAATAGGTTCATAAGCCTTGTACCTGAGAATCTCTGGTTGCACTAGCTCGATAGGTACACCGTTGATCTTGATCAAACCTTTACCGCGTTTGCAGTGGGTTACTGCTACAGCCGTCTTCTTCCGCCCGAAGCATTGAACAGATTCCGCCGTTGCTGCCGCCGCCTCCATGCTCTTCTGCTCGTTTTTTGCTTCTACTGAAATGGAAAAAATCTAACCCTAACTCTGGAGGTTTTTAAGGGGAAAAATTAGGGCTTTCTTTTGGGCTTTAAGATGCGTTGGGTTTGCGGGCCGAATTCTATAGTCATAAATAAAGAAAATTTTCACAAATAGTCACTATAATAAACTTAATTATGTTTCATAGCTATAATTTAAATATTTACGGGTTGTGGCTATAGTTCAAGTTGTCTCATTTGTATAATTCGCAGGTTCGTATAATTCGTGGGTATATTTGTATAATTGAGCTATTTTTGTATAAACTCGAAATAACGAATTTATACAATACAAACATCTAAACTTTAAAAAGTTATATAAATTACATAATACAAAAGTTATATAAATTATATAAGTAATACAAATTTTGAATTATACAAACGTGCGAATTATACAAACTCGAAACATCAACCCACGTAATTATCACTGAATATTGATCGTGAGTGGTACTTAACTAAAACTACAACTATGATGACTAATTAACTAGTATATGTTTCCTTAATCATGTATTTTTCCCTAAATAATAAGAAAAATTATCTTATTAGACATATATCACTATCATATATACTAATCCTATTTATATTTTCAAATAATTATATATATTATCACTAATTAAGAATTTTATACCATATATTTAAGAAGATAATATACATACAGATACACATATCAATAAAACATAGTCCAAATTAATTATTTCCACAATTAAATCATCCCTAGTTCACGTTTTAATGTCAATCAAAGCTCTCTATCTTATCAACCTCCCACCTCTCGGCCTCACCACCATTCTTTTCACCACATTTTCACCATTAAACCCTTCAAATGAAATCTAGAGCAACAACATATCAATTTGAAGTTTGTGTCTATTTAATCATTATTCAAAGTCATGTATATGTGATAGATTTATATTTTTTTATTTTCTAATTTTCAAAAGTTAAGGTAAAACTCCATCGATTTAGGGTTTTCTTAATTTACTTTTATGTCTAGTGATTCTCTGATGAAGAACTGTTAGCGCCGCCTCATCCTTTCCTCCGACTCTGACGATGTTGACGGTAAGTCACAACCATGGAGCACTATTATTCACAACAACAAACCAAAAGGTGAAGCTAGGGGTGTTCACGGGCCAGTTTGGTTCGAATATTGGTCAAAATCAAAATCAAACTAATTTAATTGATTTATGAATTATTAAAACCAAATCAAACTAAATATAATATACATTAATCGGTTCGATTATTAACAATACACAAAAATAAAAGAAATCGTTCAAAATGGAAAAAAGACAACAAATTATTCAAAACAAAAAATAAATAGTTAGAACGATTTATATTACAGAACTTTGATCACTAGATCATATGTGAGTAAAGGTTTAAAATTCACTATTTTGGCCTAGGACAAAGAGACAAATCATTCCTAGTCCACCAAAAATTGTCATAGACAATCATACACATGAAACCAACAAGATAAATGTTCTCATTTTAAGTGTGTTTGCTTTAGTAAATTATAAATAATTTTAATGAATATATGTAGAGAAAATGGCCAAAAGTCCCCTTAATCTATTGTTGGATTCTCAACTAAACACTCATACTTTACGGGGGTCCTATTACCCCCCCTAAACATTTTTAAAGTGAAATATATAACCCCTTAAAATGCCATAACCAGATATGTGTCTTGTAGTGAAATACACACACTTGACATGTGTATTTAACTAGTTAATTATTAGTTTTTCAGTTTTTTTTCTCCTTCATCTTCTTTAACCATTTTTTCAACCCTAATTTTTTACAAAGATTGATTTGGGGAAAACATTGGTGAATGCATTGGGGTCTTCCCCCCACCCCTCTTCCACCCACCACCTCCACCTCTGCCTTTATAATCTCCCCCACCTTTACCATTACCTTCTTCACCTATTCAAAATCTCTTTACCGTCTGTTGGTGTAATATACCGCAAATACAAAATATTACAGTTGAAAATAAAATGATAAAAATGAATAAACAAATCTTTAGGCTGGGACACGGATATCTCGCTCTCTTTAAGGAGATTCAAGCCCAATGCGGCATAATCTACACTGATCCAGCAGTAATACTCTTGACTTGTCCCCTCCAGGATACAACAGCCCAACAACGTCGTACAACTC